TTTTACACCGCTGGTTGCAACAGTTGTGGCCACCAGCGATAGACTCACTGTGAAAAGTAGCCGCCCTCTCCTGTTTAGCTGCTGGGAGCTTGTGAAGCAGAAGGTGCTGCGCGCTACTGCGAGAGCCACATGGTGGATACGAACCGCCTTCATCCGTTTAGCTGCAGCGCATTTGAAGATTCGAGGTCAAGCGGTGAGGAAGTCTCAGGCGGTACGCTCGGCCCGTCCTACCGACACGCCCGGTGGTGCGACGGGAAGATGATCTCCATCTGGAACGGGTCAAAGAAGGAAGCGGGAGGAGGAAGATGAGTATTGCGGAAGGAAGATGAGAAGGATAAGGATGATTGTGGCATGCGGGAATGGGATGATGATTATTCTGATGATGATGGTGATGGTTGTGGTGGTGGTGATGGTGATGGTGATGGTCATGATGACGAGGATGATGATGATAATGATGGTGATGCTGATGATGCTGTTTTTGTTGCTGTCGGTGATTTCTCTGATGGTGGTGATGCTGGTTCTGATGATGACGATGATGATGATGATGATGATGATGATGTTGAGAATGAGTATGACGATGATGCTGATGATGCTGACGATCCTGATGATGATGATGATGACGCTGCTGGTGATGACCATGATGATGCTGCTCATGATGATAATGATGGTGATGGTGATGGTGATGATGATGATTCTGGTGACGCTGATGCTGATGATGATGTCTTTGATGCTGCCGGTGATAATGATGCTGCAGCTGCTGATGATGATGACGACGACGACGATGATGATGATGATGATGATCATCATCATCATCATGATGATGCGGACGATTTATTTGATGCTGATGCTGTGTTGATGAGGAGGGTCTGGCGGAGGAGGCGGACGCGCCCCGAGGAGGCGCCCCGATGCGGGACGCTAATGGTGCGGATCAGACATTTCCGAGCTCTATGACCACATCTCCACAGCAGTTGTTCAAAAATAGCAGTGGGGGAGGGACGCCCGTTTTAGTAAACAGGGGGAAGCCAGTTGTGAAACACCTCCATGAGATTTCTCGCGTTTGTTCTCACCGGCGCGTTGCGATCATGTTGGTGTATCCTTTTTGTTGCAGCCAGTCTCCAGTTCCTGCTGTGGATTCGGATGGAGGACGGGTGGAGGAGGAAGGATGACGATGAGGACATGTAGGTCAGGTTGATGAGGACTCTGATGACGAGAATGAGGTTGAGGTGGAGGGATGCGCACTTTACGATGACGGTGATGACCACGGGGATGGTGCTGGTCAGGGTGATACTGGTACTGGTGATGATAAGACTGTTGTGATGATAATGCTGATGACGATGATCTTGGTGATGGGGCTGATGATGATGGTGATGATGATGACGACGATGACGCTGACGCTGACGATGACGATGACGACGACGATGTCGACGAAAACGACGATGATAATGATGATGATGCTGATGACGGGTGTGATGATGATGCGGTGTTCGAGGTTACTGCTGCAGGTCATGCTGCGGATGCTGATGGTGGTTGTGGCGATGATGATGAAGATGATGATGATGATGATGATGATGATGATGATGATGATGATGATGATGATGATGATGACGCTGATGCAGATGAGGATGATGATGATGATGATGACGATGTTGGGTATGAGGATGATATTGATGTGATGACGATGATGACAACACTGATGATTATTATTAGGCTGATGATGATGACGATGCTTCTGATGACGATGCGGGCGCCGATGCCAACGATGGTGATGATGATGATGGTTCTGATTCTGATGATGATGCTGATGGTGATGATGAGAGTGCTCATGATGCAGACAATGACACTGATGACGATGATGCCAATGACGATGCTGCTGATGCTCAGACTGATGATGCGGCTGCTAATGCTGCTGCCGATGAACACGATGAAGATGTGGATGATGATACTGATGATGTTGATGATGATGATGCTGATGCTGATGCTGATGTTGATGTTGATGTTGATGTTGATGTTGATGTTGTTGATGATGATGTTGTTGATGATGATGGTGATGACGATGCTTCGGACGATGATTCTGCTGATCACGACGATGCTTCTGCTGCAACTGCTGCTGATGATGATGATGGTGCTGTTGCTGATGCCGATGATGCTGAGGCTGATGCTGTTGCTGATGATGATGATGATGACACCGATGTTGCTATTGATGTTGCTGTTGCTGTTGCTGTTTTTATTGCTGGTTGTGATCATGCTGCTCATGACGATGCTAACTGTGACGATTAGGCACACGATGCTGATGATGGTGATGATGATGAGGATGATGCTGATGCTGATGATGCTGATGCTGATGCTGATGATGCTGCTGATGATGATAGTGATGATCATAATGAGGATATTGATGATTACGCTGATGCTGATGCTGATGCTGATGCTGATGCTGATGATGCTGATGATGATGCTGATGCTGATGATGAATCTGATGATGATGCTGATGATGCTGATGATGATGATGATGCTTGTGATGATGATTATGATGATGATATGTGGAGGTGGTGGTGATGGTGTTGCTGCTGCTGCTGATGGTGCTGATGATGATGCTGCTCCCGAAGACGATGCTGATGATGCCGATGAAGATGAACATGACGATGGCGATGAAGATGATGATGATGCTGATGATGATGATGATGATGATGATGGTGATGATGATGATGATGATGATGATGATGATGCTGATTATGATGATGATGCTGATGATGATGATGATGATGATGATTGTGGTGGTGGTGGTGATGGTGGTGGTGATGGTGATGATGCTGATGCTGATGATGATGCTGTTGATGACGATCATGATGCTGAGGATGATGCTGCTGATGCTGCTGATGATGATGCTGATGATGATGCTGCTGCTGATGCTGCTGATGATGCTGATGATGACGATGATGCTGCTGCTGATGGCGATGCCGATGATGATGCTGACGATGCTGATGATGCTGATGATGAGGATGATGTTGATGGTGAGGAGGAGGGGAAGGAGGAGGAGAAAGAGGATGCCGATGATGATGATGATGATGATGATGATGATGATGATGATGATGATGATCCTGATGATGATGATGATGATGATGATGATGATGATGATGATGATGATGATGATGATGATGATGATGATGATGATTCTTATGATACCCATGATGCTGATGATGCTGATGATGGTATTCATGCTGACTATGAACAGGACGTGGTGGAGGAGGAGGAGGAGGAGGCCGAGGAGGAGGGAGATACTGGATGCGCAGCATGGGGGACAGGATGATGATGCGGACGTGGAGGAGGAGAAGGAGGATGAGGAGGAGGCCGATGAGGAGAACGCAGAAGAGAGGGAGCCAGAGGGAAAAGAGAGGAGGAATAGTGAAGGAGGATGGGCGGAGGTGGGTGGGGGAGAGAGGGGCAGAGGAATGGAGCTGGAAGAGAAAGGGGTGGTGATGGTAAGAAGGAGGCGGCATGGGGTGGGGGTTGGGGAGGGCGGATGAAAAGGAGACATGAGCCAGAAGGACGAAGGGGCCAGCAGGAGGACGAGGTTGAGGAGGAGGAGGAGGATGGCGAGGAGGAGGAGGATGATCGAGGAGGAGGAGGAGGAGGATCGAGGAGGAGGAGGAGGAGGAGGAGCAGGAAGAGGAGGAGGAGGAGGAGGAGGAGGAGGAGGAGAAGGAGGAGGAGGAGGAGGACGGCGAAGGCAGCGGGTGGATTGATAGTCCACTGGATTGCTGTCGATGTCGTGATGCCGAGGGCGACGATGCTGAGGACGAGGAGTATGAGCAGGGACACGTCTTTCATAAGGTTGACGATGATGACGATGACGACGACGTCGGCGTTGACGTTGGCGATGCTGATATGCTGCTGATGCTGCTGCTGCTGATGATGATGGTGATGGTGATGGTGATGGTGGTGGTGATGACGACGATGATGTTGATGCTTCTGTGGCCTATGCTGGCCCATAGGATACTGTCGATGTTGACGATGCGTATCGGACGGATGCTGAGATGGAGGATTAGAGGAGGAAGAGGAGGAGGATGCGGAGAGGGGGACCTGGAAGGTCATCAGTCAGAGCAGGCAGCACGAGCGACACCCCGCCAGTCCAGGACCCCTTCCAGCCGCTAACAAGTCGATGCCGGACCATGTCCCTTCCTCCTGTCCCAGTGCTTCTCCTCGTCCTCCCCCTCTTCGTTCTCCCAGTGCCTTCTCCCCCTCCCCTCGCCCTCCACACTCACTCACTATGAATATTACTCTTCGTTCTCTCCCGAAGATGGCCGAGGAGTATCCCGCCCCCTTCGCGTATCATTGTCACGAAGGATTTCGCAAGGTGGCCTTTCCTGCTGTTTGTTCAGTCGGATCCTTTTCGGTGTCTCAAAATGGTGCTGCCGCTGCAGAGTTGGCCTCATTTTACAATCGGCGCTCAGCTCCCGTCGTTCAGCATGGCGCTCTCGCCCCAGCGCGGGCTACTTGTCTATATCTGAGTACTTCGTCATCGTTGTCGCCCCCTCCTCCTTCCTCCCTTCCCCTTCTCTGCCTTCGCCTGGTCCTCCTGCTCCTCCGGGTCCTTCCACTTCAGTTTCCGCTCTTGCTGTTCGCCCTCGTGATCTTCCTATTTCCTCATTCTCCTCCTTTTATTCCTACTCGTCCTCCTGCTCATCCGCCACCTCCTTCTCCCCCTTTTCCTCCTCCGATGTACTCGGCTTCCCTTCTCCGATCGCGTATAACACGATTGGGGTATTTTGGGGGTTCATAGGACACGCGTCTGCGGATAGAGAACACATAAGCGCATTGGAAAGGGATCGGTGGGAGTGGTAGGATGTCAGATATGGCGCGAGCGCACATAGCTTGTCCTCTCCACTCGCTCCTCCCCTCTCCCCCCTCCCCCTCCCACTCCCCCTCCCCCTCCCTCTCCACCTCTCCCCCACTTCCCCTCCTCTTCGCTCTCATTCTGCACCCTCCTGATGTCCTCCCAGCAGGCGTCGATGCCCGCAAGCTCGAGCTCTTCCAGCTCCCGCCCGAGACGAGGGAGCTCTCGGGGGCCGGTGGTGGTGGCGGTGGTCGTGCTGCTGATGCTGATGCGCATGCTGATGCTGATGAGGATGAGAATGATGATGATGCTAATGATGATGCTGATGATGATGATGATGATGATGATGATTATGATGATGATTATGATGATGATCATGATGATGATGATGATGTTGATGATGATGATGTTAATGATAATTCTGATGATGCTAGTTATGGTGATGGTGATGGTGATGATGCTGATGCTGATGGTGCTGCTGATGATGATGCTGATAATGATGCAGAAGAAGAGGCGGAGGGGGAGGGTGGTGGTGGTTGTGGTGGTGGTGGCGAGATGGTGGTGGTAGTGATGATGAGTTCGGTGGTGATCATACATATGAGGATTCATATTCAGATGACGATGAGATCATCAATCTGGGGATGCAGATGAAGATGCTGATGCTGCTGATGCTGCTGATGATGATGATGATGCTGATGCTGATGCTGATGCTGATGCTGATGATAATGCTGCTGCTGATGATGCTGATGATGCTGATGACGGTGCTGCTGATGATGGTTTTGATGATGATCATGCTGCTGTTGATGCTGATCATGCTGCTGCTGCTGTTGTTGCTGCGGATAATGATGCTGCTGCTGCTGCTGCTCATTCTGCTGATGCTGCTGCTGCTTATGCTGCTGATGATGCTGATGCTGATGATGCTGATGCTGCTGCTGCTGATGATGATGATGATGATGCTGATGCTGATGATGACGGCGATGATGATGATGATGATGATGACGATGATGATGATGATGATGCTGATGCTGATGCTGATGCTGATGTTGTTGATGATGATGCTGCTGATGCTGATGATGATGGCGACGCTCATGCTGATGATGATGATGCTGATGATGAAGACGACGATGCTGATGCTGATGCTGATCATGATGATGCTGATGCTGGTGGCGCTGATGATTCTGATGCCGATGATGCTGATGATGCTGCTGATGATGATGCTGACGTTTCTGATGCTGTGGACGATGCTGATGCTGCTGATCCTGATGCTGATGGCGATGACAATGACGACGATGCTGATGCTGCTGATGATGATGATGCTGATGATGCTGATGATGCTGATGATGATGCTGATTACGATGCTGGTGCTGCTGCGGATGATGATGCTGCTGCTGATGATGGTGCTGTGAATGATGATCATGCTGATACTGCTGATGATGATGTTGCTGAAGCTGATGCTGATGATGATGCTGATGACGATGAGGATGGTGATGCTGATTATGACGATGCTGATGTTCGTGATGATGATGCTGATGATGACGATGCTGGTGGTGGTGAGGGCGAAGCTGATGATGCTGAGGATGCTGCTGATGATGATTGCGATGATGATGATGCTGATGATGATGATGATGATGATGATGCTGATGATGATACTGCTGATGCTGTTGCTGATGACGATGATTCGATGATGATAATGCTGATACTGATGATGACGGTGATGATGATGATGATTCTGATGATCAGCATGATGCTGATTCTGATGATGATGCTGCTGCCGCTGATGACTATGATGATGATGATGACGATGATGATGATGATCATGATGATGATGATGATGATGATGATGATGATGATGATGATGCTGATGATGTTGATGATGATGATGATGATGATGATGATGATGCTGATGCAGATGATGATGATGTGGATGCTGGCGCTGATGCTGATGCTGCTGCTGTTGAATATGCTGATGATGCTGATTCTGATATGTTGTTGATGATGCTTCTGCTCCTGATGAAGAAGAAGTGGATCAGTCGGCGGAGGAGGAGGAGGAAGAGGAGGAGGAAGAGGAGGAGGAGGAGGAGGAGAAGAAGGGGGAGGGGGATCCGCCAGAGAGCGCGCGCACGCAGTCCGCTCTCTCACCAGGCTTGTGGGGGATGGTGTGTGTGTGTGTGTGTGTGTGTGTGTATGTGTGTTTGCTTGTTTGTATGTGTGTGTGTGTGTGTCTGTGTGCGTGTGCGTGTGCGTGTGCGTGTGCGTGTGCGTGTGCGTGTGCGTGTGCATGTGTGTGTGTGTGTGTGTTACTCGAGTGCGCGCTCGTGTCTCGCACGGGTCCTGGTCTAACTCCGCCCGAGGGGAAGTTTCGAGGAGGATCGAGAAGGAGGATCGAGGAGGATCGAGGATCGGGGAGCGGGATCGAGGAGGAGGAGGATCGAGGAGGATCAAGACCCCTGAGAGGCGACGCCTCGATCAACGCGCCCCCCCAAACAACAAGAAACACTTGCCTCGCCTGCGCCTGAGGGGAGCTTTCCTTTGTCGCCTCACGGCGAGGACAATCCACTTTGTGCCTCGTGGCACGGCGGCGGACCGTCCTCCTCGTCTTCGTCGTCGTCGTCGCCGTCCTCCGCATTTCTCCTCGCGCTCGCCCCCGTGTTCTCTTCGTCCTCGTCCAT